CATCAACCAAAAAGCAGGATTGTGCAATGGTACACGGTTGCTGATAACAAGGTTAGGCAAAAGAATTATTGAAGCTGAAATAATAACTGGGGAAAATGTGGGAAAAAAGATCATTATACCAAGGATAGTGATGACAACATCAGACACAAATTGTCCTTACAAATTGAGAAGGCGACAGTTCCCATTATGTCTATGTTACGCTATGACAATTAACAAAAGCCAAGGACAAAGCTTGCAGAAAGTGGGATTATACCTTCTAAAATCAGTTTTCAGTCATGGACAACTCTATGTTGCTTTGTCAAGAGTCACATCAATGGAAGGATTGAAAATCTTAAATGGGACATTGACAGAAAATGCTGTGAACGGCGTCACCAACATTGTTTACAAAGAAATTTTCAACAATATTTTGTCTGAAAGTAGAGGTATGACAACAACTATTTCTGGTCTAATATAAATTATCAAAAACAAAATGTTTGAATAATTAAATTTTAACACAGCTGAAAATGACCAAGGTGGGAGAAGAGTTGCAAATATCGAGGAAGGACTTCGCGTTTAAATGAAATGTATATCGACAATCAAGTAAGTACATTTATATTATTTAGTGTTCGAAAACGCACAAGCATACAAATATACTATAAAAAAAAATATAACAAATAAAAATCCTTCTAACAATCTCCTTTCAAATTACAATGACACAACAGGAAAAAAATTCATCCAAGCAGAAAAAGAAACAGCAAGTGATTAAAAAGATTAATAGTGGATATAGTGACATATTACATGACTGTATTTATTTAACTTCCTCATATCTATTATTCGTAAAAAAATTTGACTAAAAAACAATTTAAATATTTATGCACAAATCTTTCATAATAAAACAAATATGCTGTTTAACAAAACAAAATATTATTCATATGAAAAAAGATCTTCACAGAAAATTATTAGTTACATATACGTACCAAAAAAAAACTTCACTTCATATAATGATTGCAAAGCCATTCATATGGCTTCCCTCTCTTCGTTAATAAAAATTAGGGGACATAAATTTAGAATGCATGTTTATGACCTACAACAACCACAATCGATTACTGTATGTTTTCAACAACATAATCTAAAACCATTAACTTTAAATAATCTCGAATTATATATACATATAAAAAAAAATTAAAAACAAAAAATCAAACAAAAATTAAATAAAGTAAATATCTTATATTCTGATTAATCAAAATTAAAATAAAATTAAACTTATATAAAAACTTAAAAAATTAACAATAAACATATTATGCGTGTAGCGCGGGTACTCACCTAGTGAATGATTCAAAACATGACAAATGATATTATGTTTTAACATACATAAATAAGAAAACAATTAAGGTAGTATATAAAAGATTTAAAACAATATAAATTCAAAATTATTTCTTATGATATTAATTTTACTTGATTAATATAAATTCATAAAAATAAAAATTTATAAATCTTTAAGTATTTCTTTTTAGTCAAGGATTCAAGATGGGATTATTGATATGAGGGAACTCTCTACTCAATTCATAATGCTTATAAACTCAAACAAGCTATTCTTTATACATATGATTCATTTGCATAACTAATCCAATCTCTTGACACTAATTAATTTGCTAATCATCAAGTCAAGAACTAATTCTCATTAGTGAAATGATAAATATCAAGCACTCAAACATTCATTCAATCATATATTGCAAAAGTACTCCCTAAACGTCTAATCTCTTAGGCTAGTGTTAGAGGGGAAATGAGCACATTTCCTAAAAGGCCTTCCCCCGCAATAACCTAAGTCCATCAAGATCAGGAAGACCGCACCGACCTAGCTTGGATTTAAAGATAACCTTTAAAGACCAGAAACATCGGATTAATTCAAAGGATAAATGAGAATTTCCTTACTCCTCGGAGAATAAAGGATATTTCCATATCTATGATATAGAGATATACACAAAGACAAAAAGGAAAAGGAGTTCGAAGCAACCGACCTCCCATCCCTATAAATAAAGAGGACCCAGAAGCCAAGAAGATCATCCAATACATTCTAGAGAGCAATAGAGCTAAAACTAGAGACTCCAACGCTTTCTAGTTTACTTCACAAACACCTTCTTCACTTCGGCATAACCTCACGGTTATTCCTTTCTTTGTAATCGCTTTGCTTATTACTATTAATAAAAAGACTTTATTCTCCGAAACCCACAACTGTTAATCAAACCCTAGTGGTGATTTTCTAGTTCAACAATTGGTGCCGTTTGTGGGGACTAGGAGAATAACTTCTTAAAAACCAAGTAAGAAAGCCGAAGCGATGAGCCTCCCCGTCGACAACAGCGATCTCATCCACAACAACGATGACATCACTCACACCGAGACGTCTACTCTCGGTGAACGTACGAACGTCACCACCGCGGATCCACCCGCGGGAGCACCCTCAGCTCTCGCTGCAGCTATTCAGGCCGCCACGATATCACCCACAGGAAAACGTAAACAAGCAATCACCAACAGTACCCACATGATTTTACGAGGAATATTCCACGATCCTAGCTCACTACGAGAAATAAGAGAACACGAAGAGAAAGCGGCGGCGGCGAAGCGAGACCCACCCATCCCAAGATACGAGATGCCAATAGAATTCACAACGAAAGATCAACATAGCTCGCACGAACCGCACTTAGACCCGCTAGTCATAACTTTACATATCCATGACAGCAAGATCGCCAAAGTCCTGATCAACGGTGGGAGCACAGCCAACATCATATTCGAAGACACACTATCAAGGATGCATATTGATAAAAACAAGATAATAGCAATCAGAAAACCATTGACCGGATTCGCAGGCGACACTTCTTACAGCATCGAATCGATATACCTAATCACTTAACCACAATGATCGTAGAAAGCCATTTCCTATTTCTTCACCAAGTTTTCCACGCGTTTAAACTTATATCTTTATTTATTTTATCATTGATATTTATTGTTTGGTAGTCTAATATTTGATAATTTTAGTTTTAAAACTTGTAGGATCGGTGGTATGGAGTCTTTCACATTATTTTTTACTGATTCTATCTGTTGTGTGCATTCTGCATATTTTGATTTGAATATTTTATCTAGATATATCAATTTGAGTTTGATTCATAATTATGTCATACTTTATTATCTAAATAGAATTTTAGAAGGTGTTACTCATGTGTTATTAATATTGGTTCATATAAGTAGTAGCTGCGTATACAAATCACATTTCACTGTTTGTTAAATTTTCATTGTAAAGTTACTTATGTAATATTTTTCTTTGTTAGTATTTAAAATCAGAAGCATCCAGTGTATTAATCTTTGTATATTTAAAGAAAATATTTGCTTTAGAAACTTAAGTAAACTTATTGCAACTTTAGATAGTTATTCATTGTCGATACCAATATTTTAGAAATTTGATATTTTATATCATTTGATAATAAATTTATATTTTATTTTAATTTATACAATTTTTTTTATATGTTTGATATACACAGTACTTATATTTTTTTTAATGATTAAGCTCTTTTGTTGTTGATTCTCAAAATAGGTAGCATATATATCAAGTTAATTTCTTTTACTTGAATGATTTTTCTTTTTAAATTTTTTTTTAATATTAATTTTTATTTTAGTTATAATGCTGATTTGACATACTATAGCTGTTAGCCTGAATATCAAGTTAGTTCTTTTATATGACTTTTTGTCTTTACCTTTTTGATATTGATTGTGTTTTTATGTTGATACATAATGTTTTGTAAATATTAACAATTTTACACATATTTTTCTCATTGTTTCTGCTAACGAGACTCTTTTATATTAATTTCTAAAACAGTTAGCATATATACCAAGACAATTTTTGTTTTAGATAATTTTAAAAAAAAATATTCAACTTTTTGATATTAATTTAAATTTAAATTATATTTTTATTTTATTATTTTTGTTTATTTTTTGTATTGATCTCTTAAATATTTATTTTAAAGCTAAATTTTAAATAAATTATTTATTATATATGTTAAATTTTTTCTTTTATTAATTTAAATTTTTGTTAGTTTAGTTTTTGTGATATTAAATTTCTATTTTATTTTGACAAATGTTATATTAATTTTTATTATATTATATTAATTTTTTTATTTTTTTTGTTTTAAATTATTAATTATATTTGATATTTTTTGTATTTTATAAAAAATGCTGATATGAATTAATTATATTAATTATATTCAGTATGTTCTTTATTATATATAGATGTGCGAGTGCGAGGCGTTTCAGGCTTGCGAGTTAATGGATATAAAAGCCCAGTGTTAAATCATCTAACGAAGTCAGAAGGTTTAGTTTTGACCATCCAATAAGAAGAAAGAATACGACAAAAATCTGGAAAACCTACCCTGCCTCTTTTGGACAATTGATCTTCAGCTCCTTGCTCTCTGCCTCTCTCAGTCCGGATTCTTTGATTTGTGATTTGATTACGATCCAATGGGTTTCTCCAAAGATCAGCTGCTTGGTCGACTTCAGGTTTTTTATCTTCTCGAACTCAGTTTCATCTTTTTGATTTCTCATTGCTTTATTAGAGAATTCGTGAAAGGGAATTAGATAAAATAAGAGATGGGAACGGAAAACTATTTACTTCGTGCATTGTTTGATTCGGTTTATATTTGCTTCATTCAATTAAAATTTCCCCAACCAGTTGTGGGCCTTAACGAATTTAGATTGTGTACATGGATTCGTAGTTATCAGTGACTACTTTGTACTTTTTTAAGATTAAATCGTATTATTTCTTTACTCAAGAATTGTATTTTTTGTGCCAAGATTTATCCATTTTATTTGCAAGTTTGTCAAAGTATAGGATTTGAATTTCGTTTTATTGTTCGATTTACATTTATATTTGCTTATCTCAGATTCGATTTTCCCATGAATGATTTTAGATTAGATAGCATTGTACTCTTCTACGGTGAAGAATTTTGGAGTTGTTGGTGTAATTGATAATTTAGAGTCCTAATTATCTATTGATCTTCTTGGTATTACAGGAACTTGAGATTGATTATTCCAAGTATGAGCATCCTCCTGTTCTAACAGTCGAAGCACAGGTGAAAATTGTAGATTTAATGCTCAAGTATAGAATGTTAATAGATGGATTTGTAAGGGCTGTGTTTTTATTATCTGAATTTTCTCCAGGCCAAGTATGTAAGCAGTAGCGAGGGAGCACTAAGTAAGAATCTCTTCTTGAAGGTAATCTTTATTATGCATTCCTCTAGAGTTTTACCATAAAGACATTGTAACTGGCTCATATTTTTTGGTTTTTTTTTTCTTTTTGCAGGACAAGAAACATCGATATTACATTATTTCAGCCATGGTAGATACAAAAGTTGACATGAAAGGTAACACATGTTTGGTTGGTACATACATTCTCATTTTGAACAAGTCGCTGTGCTTGTGAAATCGAAATGTTTTTTTTTCTTTCTTTTTGATGTTAACGTGTGCCCACTGTGACTTCTAATCCATACAGTTTTGTCTCAGAGACTTGGTCTTGGTAAAGGAGGAATTAGAATGGCTCCTGAAGAAGCACTTGGTGAGCTTTTGCAGGTATTGTGTTTTGTAACATATCTGGACAGATTTTTAAGAAACCTGATTGCTTAAGATGATCTATTTGCTTGATAAGTTTGTGTTGCTTAGTTTACAGCAAATCCACATGAATTTACCTAACCTAGTTTCTTGATTACAATTTTTATCTTCTTCTTAAAGGTGTCTCTTGGATGTGTTACTCCGTTCGCAGTTGTAAACGAATCAGCAAGGTATCGTCTTCGTTAACATTGGTTCCTATATGTGCCATTGAAGTTTTAATTATTTCCTTTGATTGACACATTCTTTTTGAAATTTTCTTTGTTAAAGAGATGTGTCACTCTTGTTAGACAAAAACTTCAAGAACCAAGCACGCTGCATCTTTCACCCATTGTCTAACGACGTCTCAATTTGTAAGTTCTTATAGCTTATGTTGAAATAGTTATAACAATATTTTAGCTTTTACGCTGATTCGTTTGTTTCCCATGATTTCCAGCTCTTAACACAGCGGGTCTAGACAAGTTTCTCAAGTCGATTGGGAGAGATTCTGTATACGTTGATCTTGAGGCAAATGTTCTAAAACCTTTTTAAGTTGAGACCTCATGTTTTCACAGTTACTTTCTTCTGACCTTTTAAACTATGGTTTTTGCGGTTTCAGGCTAACCCGGCGGTTGGTAAAGACCAGCCTCCGGATCTAGCTCTCTATGTTCCGGCTGCTTCAGTTGTTGTTCCCGAGCTTTCTAATAAAGCATCATCTATACAAACCCCTCCTACAAAGAATGCGACTTCAGAGATCATTAAGCCTGTTGCTTCAGGTATGGTTTAAGCCATTTCCTCCTATTTCGTAGCCCTTGTGATAATCTTGGGTAATAGAAAACATAGATTTTCTCTACCGGTGCAGCCAAGCCGAGCAAACCAGCCGGTAATGTGAATAGTGTCTCGGCAAATTCAGTTTCATTAGAATTCAAGAACCCTGAGAAATTTGTGGAGGAGATTTTGAACAGAACGTCGGCTCTATTGTTGTCTGAGGTAATAACACATTCTCAAAATTAAAATCAGTTTCGTATTGGTTTTGGGTTAAAATTCTTAAACCTGTTACATAACAGGCGAAGGGAGAGAGTGTGGAAGCTTTGCCAGGAACACTCAGAAAACGTCTTACCTCAGAGTTGACCCTTCTCGCTGTGAGTAACACTGTATTACTATATTTTACATGGTTAGCGTCGGTTTAGAGTAAACCGATTGTACTAATATTGGTGTTGTGTGTGTAAATTGCAGATTATGTACAAGAACACAGCGTACACTGAAGGTTTTCACGCAGGTAAAAACTACAAACCATACCGACTGTAAGAGGGAGGGTTTGGTTTACCTGATGAACCGGAGATGTTTGAGACGGAAAGCATTACCGATTTACGCATTTTCTGGCCCCTTTGTTGCAGAAAACAATTTAGTTAAGATTCGAAAAATAATATATTTGAGTGAGCTTGAACCATTATCGTTTCCTTTACGGTTTCATCAAACTTCTACTAAGTACCAATACACATTATAAAAAAAAATGCAGAAAAGCGTGTTTCAAGCTTTTTGTGCCAAGTCTAGATCAGTATGTGGAAAAATCATCCAGTGATCATCATACGACATTAAGCTTATGGGTTATTGCGATACATATCGACTTAGCATGAATCTCGGGTTTCATAACATAGAATATAGTGCAGACTCCAACATCAGCAACTCCTACAGGTGTTAGTAATGATCAACTTTGGGTTCAGACTCATTGTCTGGTAAAGGAAGTAGTTCAGCACCACTTCTTACAGGGGGCTAAATCACATTAATTCAGATCTTCCACCACTGATAGTTCAACGACACAGTTCAACGACAGGAACTCTGCAATCTGGAAGGGAAAGCTGACTCAACCAGTTCATCTCTGAACGATCTGCTATACAACAAAAGGTTGATCCTGCAAGTTAGGAGTACATCTTGAAGACCTTTGAAGAAAAATAGAGGTCTCAAGAACATGAACTTTAGAGTCTATCATGAGACCCGCGATCGACTATGTGGTAGAAAAAACCAAGCAAACTCCATTTTTGGAGAAAATTGAGAACACTTCGATAAAAAACGTCAGAACGTTAAGACTCATGATTTACGAAGGTAAAGCTAACCCCAAATCACATTTAACTGCGTACATAATTGCATTTGGAAGAGCTCACTTCAATGATTACAAGAAGGAGGCTAGGCTCTGCAAACTTTTTGCCGAACACCTCTCCATGTTCGCCTTAGATTGGTTTTCACGACTGCAAGAACGATTGATTGATAGTTTCTCAAAACTATCGGTCAGTTTCCTGAAACAATACTCAGTCTACATCCACAAAACGGTGGCTAGAGCAGAACTTTGGGCCCTGACCCAAGGACCTAAAGATTCACTATGATCTCATCATGCCAAGTTGAAGGAAATCATTGCACGAATACTAGTGATCAAGACGACTAAACTCCTAATATGGCATCAAGTCTAATTTTTATAGCACACTTGATCAAGAAGATAATTCATATTATGAGATGAAACATTGATGATGAACAAATATTGTTTGAGACTTTGAGCAGAACACTTTGTGATATCATAAAATCTGACAAGCCTTTACTGGTAAAGTTATCGTCTTTGGGAAAGATTTTTATAGACAAATTTTGTCGGTTACGCCTAATGCTGGAAGGGTAAAAGTTATTCAGACTATTTTGAATTCTCTGTTTTTTTTTTAAATGACTACAAAATGTTAAAGTTTACAAAGAATATGCGACTCAAATTCGGAGATAATAGTAAGAAGATGTATGATCTCGTAGATTTCTCAAAATAGGTATTGGATATTGTATTTGTTGGACATAGATTGTGGATAATGACGAAGGTAGAAAATTATTTTATTGTGGTAAACAATTGAGTTGTATAAAAATATTTTACTATTTACTAGAAAATTTTATTATTTGTTTTCTTCATTCCTTAAATATTTTACTATTTACTAGTAATATTTTTTCTATATCATTTCTTTTTATTTTTTTTATTGAAGTAATTATAAAACAAAAGTATTACTTACAAACTTTAGGAAGGAACAAGAAAAAATTATTCAATTCCTTTTATGTATTTCAACTTTCATTTATTATTTTTTTATTCTTTTTCTTTTTATTAATATTTTTTAATGATCATCGGTTAAAATCGATTATTATATTGGATATATCATAGGATGAGAAAATCTGTCTAAGTTGTGATAGTATTATTATAAACACAACTGATCGGAAGCTTAATGGTAATGATGCATTTGAAATTTTATTTTAAAGTTCTAAGCCAATTTATGAAAAAGTATATTATGATATATATGATTTACGCAAAAAAATTTCTAGATTCAATCAAAGTGTCTTGATTGTGAAATTATGAGTTGCGTTTATGCTTATAATGCTGGTTAAAAATATTAATTTAAAAAATGATTTGTGCAATGAGCAAAACTGCTTATTACTTAAATGGTTAATTATATTATTGAAGCTAAGATAATAATTGGTGACAAAGTTAAGCAAAAGATTATTATATCTAAAATGTTTTTATTTTCAACAGAGAAATAAAACTTATCCCAGCATGAAATCCAAATAATTCTCAATTATTTTAGTCTTTGTAAATTTGTAATAATGATAAATAAAAATTAATATGCAAAGATGGGTGTGTTTCTTTTATAAACCGTTGGCAAAACGCAAAACCAAAATATATAAAAATAAAATCCGGGATTTAGTAACGAATTTTCAGCTTGTTAATTTTGCCTTCCTTATGCAAAAAATGCTCCTCAACGCAAAAACTCTAAAACCTAACTGTCTCTCCCGGTAAAACCCAAATTTCTGAGCCGGCGAAGTTCGTCGGAAATATCCTACATCACCGGATAATTTCGTCTGTAATTGTATGACCTCCCAAACGTAGACCTCGAACTTTTTTGTGTTTCCCCACGATCATATCCCCCTGTTTTCATTGTTTTGGATTCGCAATTCGAGTTCACAGTTTCAAATTCCTCCATGAATTCACTATATAGCGTTTGATTTTCCTCGTCTGTATCAAAACCTAATATCGCTTTTTCGTTTCAGGCGTTTTCCGATTCACCGATTCGATGTCACTCGTACGTTGTTTATCCCTCAGGTCGGCGCTTAACGCTCCTCGTTACCGATCCTCTTATGCTTGTCTCGTCCCTCTTCAGACTCGTCGCGAAGAAGAAGAAGCTACACGAAAAATCCCTGAAATTCGAAATTACCACAGTTTCATCAACAACCAGAGTTCGTTAATCGCTGGCTGCTCCGGCTTCTCTCGCAACCTCTCTCCCTTCCAATCTCCGGTGATTGCGTCCTATCGAACCATTTCGACTTTTAATTTCGCTAGTTCGAGTGAAATCCTCGCCGATTGGGTTTTGAAATCTGCGGTTTCTAATGTCTATGCGTTACACAATGTCGCTGATGCTCTTGCTTCACTTCAACACTTGATTGCTTTGCTTCATTCTTTCACATTTTCTCAATGGTAAGATTTCAAAAATTAGTCGTATATACTCTTCTGAGCTGGTATAAAGAAACTGTCTTGCTTAGTTCTTCTTCCTGGTTCAAAATCACAATCTTGGTTTATCTTGTTCTTTGACTGTTTTACAGGTGGGTGTGTATCATTGTCACATCAATTTTGATACGGGGAGTGACGATTCCGGTTATTATTGACTGGCTAAACAACATTGCAATGTTTTTTAAGGTAAAGTGATAACCTCGTGGTTTGAGCTTAACAGATCAGTGACAGAATGGGGAGAAATCGGAGGAAGAGTAGGATGAGAAGAGAAGGTAGAGAGGAAGAAGTCGGGAAAATCCCTAAATTGTTAAAATGATCCAAAGATGTTTTTCCTTTCGAGAGTTCCAACTTAAGTATCACAAATAAAAGGTTTTAACGAGCCAAAAACATAAAAAACATAAACGGCCCAATAAAAGTTTACGAGCCCATTTCACAAACTTATCAATAATCCTCCGTTAGAAGACACCTTGACAAGAAACTGTGAGAAGCTCCTGAATTCACTTCAATCGTAACCTCTTGGTTACTCACGAGACCATGAAATCTCAAAGCATCCTGTTGATAAACCGGATCGATGCTTCGGATACTCCTTGCTTGCTGGCTTGAATTTCTCTCTATATCTGGGTCATATGCTTTTCTAACTAACTTAAGGCACATCAATTCCTGGTTAATATGCCCTCGTTACCCTGTGTCATCCCTAACGTTTCTTCTTGTGATCGACTGGCGACGGGGGTAATTTCCGGCTCTTCTATAGCTTATGTCACCTTTACTGATTGACACTGGTGGTATGTTTTCGCCTGCGAGCTGGACGTCATTAACTTCTTCTGCCCACTGTGCTTGTTGTGTAACGTGGTTTAACTCTACTGCTGGTTCACAGAAACTAACTCTTCTAGTCTTCGTTTCCTTCGATACGAGTTTCTGGTTTCGTGCGAGCTCTTTATCACTCAAGTAACTACCTTGTTCTTCTAACCATTGAGCAACTCCTAGTGCATTCTTGAGATTGTTAGGCTGGAGTTGCCTGACCTCTTCCTGCAGCGGTTATTGCAATCCTCTCATAAAAACATTAACCATATACTTCTCTGGCAATTGTATAGACTTTTTCCTGATGGCTTCAAAATCCCTGACATAATCTACGAGAGTACCTTCTTGAAGTATTCCCGAGTATCGATTTATCACCCTTTGTTCACTCTTTCTCTTCACTGCAGGTCTAGGCATTGTATACTCCATCTCCGTTCTCACCATCAGATAGCTAATTTGTTTCACTTCTATATCACGCTCCCTTAAAACCAAGCTCTTGAACTCATCCCAGTTTTTAGGAGTATTACTCTCCCAAAGTCTTCGGATCTAATTCCCGGTTGAACCTTGGAGACTCTGGTGGGCTTTCTGCAACTTTTCATTCTCAGGGATATGATTCTCTGAATAGTGTTTCTCAAAGCAGTTTATCCAATATTTTAACTCTTCCCTTGAACATGGTGACTCACTTTTCTCCTTAATTCCCTCTTGCACGCGAGAGACCTTATTGTTTGAAGGCCTATTCCCTTGCTCTTCGGCCTTTGAATTTGTTCCCTAAATCTCACGCCCTGTTTTGGTTCGGCCTTGAGGACTTGGTTCTAACCTTCTCCACCCACCAATTATGTTCACCGTGTTTGAGCTTATTCCCCGCTCATACCCTACACCGTCAGAAACACGTTCCCGATCCGTATCCATCACTGCCTTTCCCTTGACCCTGGCTCTTGCTGCCTTGACGGAAACATAATTATCAAGATGCTGTTGCCGGTTCTGCACACAACTTCTGAGACCTAAGCTGCGACCGATCCCAAAGCTCTTGCAAGCCTGCAATAACTCACGTTGTTTTCACTTTTCTCGCATATTCATGACGTTTCTTCAGCTCCTTCTTGTTCACGTTCAAAACTCTATGGCAAGAGTTTGCTGAAACCTTGACGTTTGAAAGCAAGAGAGGCTTTGAGTTCCCTTTTCGAATTCTCTCCTTTCTATCCATGTAATAATCTCGATCCGCCCTGAAACCCTTGTCGCTGAGAGTGCCTAACGCGGTTTTGAGCTTGAGAAACTCAACTTCCGCAGATGCGTCGTATTGAGACTCGCCCACCGAGTGTTCAACAGTAATCTTCAGGGTTAGATCTGGTTTTTCCACTGGGGTTGGTTCGTCTAGCTTAGCAGTTTGCTGAGCCTCATGCTGAAACTACTGCAACATTTGGGATACCAGATCTAGAGCCTTGTCCAAAACGTCGCGAGGAAGGCTGTGCTCTGATACCATTGATAAGCTCGTGGTTTGAGCTTAACAGATTAATGACAGAAAGGGGAGAAATCGGAGGAAGAGTAAGATGAGAAGAGAAGGTAGAGAGGAAGAAGTCGGGAAAATCCCTAAATTGTTAAAATGATCCAAAGATGCTTTCCCCTTCGAGAGTTCCAACTTAAATATCACAAATAAAAGGCTTTAACGAGCCAAAAACATAAAAAACATAAACGGCCCAATAAAAGTTTACGAGCCCATTTCACAAACTTATCAATAATCCTCCGATAGAAGACACCTTGACAAGAAACTGTGAGAAGCTCTTGAATCCACTATAATCGTAACCTCTTGGTTACTCACGAGACCATGAAATCTCAAAGCATCCTGTTGATAAACCGGGCCGATGCTTCGGATACTCCTTGCTTGCTGGCTTTAATTTCTCCCTATATCTGGCTCATATGCTTTTCTAACTAACTTAAGGCACATAAATTCCTGGTTAATATGCCCTCGTTCCCCTGTGTCATCCCTAACGTTTCTTCTTGTGATCGACTGGCGATGGAGGTCATTTCCGGCTCTTCTATAACTTCTGTCACCTTCACTGATTGACACTGGTGGTATGTTTTCGCCTGCGAGCTGGGCGTCATTGACTTCTTCTGCCCACTGTGCTTGTTGTGTAACATGGTTTAACTCTACTGCTGGTTCACAGAAACTAACTCTTCTAGTCTTCGTTTCCTTCGATACGAGTTTCTGGTTTCGTGCGAGCTCTTTATCACTCAAGTAACTACCTTGTTCTTCTAACCATTGAGCAACCCCTAGTGTATTCTTGAGATTGTTAGGCTGGAGTTGCCTGACCTCTTCATGCAGCGGTTATTGCAATCCTCTCACATAAACATTAACCATATACTTCTCTGGCAATTGTATAGACCTTTTCCTGATGGCTTCAAAATCCCTGATATAATCTACGAGAGTACCTTCTTGAAGTATTCCCGAGTATCGATTTATCACCTTTTGTTCACTCTTTCTCTTCACTGCAGGTCTAAGCATTGTATAATCCATCTCTGTTCTCACCATCAGATAGCTAATTTGTTTCACTTCTATATCACGCTCCCTTAAAACCAAGCTCTTGAACTCATCCCCGTTTTTAGGAGTATTACTCTCCCAAAGTCTTCGGATCCAATTCCCGGTTGAACCTTGGAGACTCTGGTGGGCTTCCTGCAACTTTTCATTCTCAGGGATATGATTCTCTGAACAGTGTTTCTCAAAGCAGTTTATCCAATATTTTAACTCTTCCCTTGAACATGGTGACTCACTTTTCTCCTTAATTCCCTCTTGCACGCGAGAGACCTTATTGTTTGAAGGCCTATTCCCTTGCTCTTCGGCCTTTGAATTTGTTCCCTGAATCTCACGCCCTGTTTTGGTTCGGCCTTGAGGACTTGGTTCTAACCTTCTCCACCTACCAATTATGTTCACCGTGTTTGAGCTTATTCCCCGCTCATACCCTACTCCGTCAGAAACACGTTTCCGATCCGTATCCATCACTGCCTTTCCCTTGACCCTGGCTCTTGCTGCCTTGACGGAAACAGAATTATCAAGATGCTGTTGCCGGTTCTGCACACAACCTCTGAGACCTAAGCTGCGACCCATCCCAAAGCTCTTGCAAGCCTGCAATAACTCACGTTGTTTTCACTTTTCTCGCATATTCATGACGTTTCTTCAGCTCCTTCTTGTTCACGTTCAAAACTCTATGGCAAGAGTTTGCTGAAACCTTGACGTTTGAAAGCAAGAGAGGGTTTGAGTTCCCTTTTCGAATTCTCTCCTTTCTATCCATGTAATAATCTCGATCCGCCCTGAAACCCTTGTCGCTGAGAGTGCCTAACGCGGTTTTGAGCTTGAGAAACTCAACTTCCGCAGATGCGTCGTATTGAGACTCGCCCACCGAGTGTTCGACAGTAATCTTCAGGGTTAGATCTGGTTTTTCCACTGGGGTTGGTTCGTCTAGCTTAGCAGTTTGCTGAGCCTCATGCTGAAACTTCTGCAACATTTGGGATACCAGCTCTTGAGCCTTGTCCAAAACGTCGCGAGGAAGGCTGTGCTCTGATACCATTGATAAGCTCGTGGTTGAGCTTAACAGATTAGTGACAGAAAGGGGAGAAATCAGAGGAAGAGTAAGATGAGAAGAGAAGGTAGAGAGGAAGAAGTCGGGAAAATCACTAAATTGTTAAAATGATCCAAAGATGCTTTTCCCTTCGACAGTTCCAACTTAAATATCACAAATAAAAGGCTTTAACGAGTCAAAAACATAAAAAACATAAACGGCCCAATAAAAGTTTACGAGCCCATTTCACAAACTCATCAATACTCCTCCGTTAGAAGACACCTTGTCCTCAAGGTGTAGAGTCTTCGAAACCTGCAACTCTCTGAGACAGAGTAACCATCGTGGAGCCTTCTTGTGCTTCACGCTCCATGCTCAGCTGCTGTTTGTTCCTTTACCAAGCTGCAGTTTCATCTCTTTGCTTTAACCCTGCCCGACTCTTCTCCGTTGTGATATTTTCTTCTCCCGCCAACTCGAGCTTATTCCCTTTCATGGCTTCTGATGCACGCTCCTGTATATCCAGAACAGATTTATTGGCCTCTGACATAAACTTGTTGTTTTCGACCCTTCCAGAGAACTTAATAGAGGCGTATATCGAATCGTGCTGGTTTTCTGGTGGTGTCTGCGAAGTTGATAAGCTCTTGATGTTGTATCGACCCTTCCATGGTGAACTCCTTTCTCCTTGATACTTAGCAGCAATTTCACTCTCTCCCAACCGCTATCGTTCACCCTTTGCACCTTATCAACACTATTCCGATCTGACTCGTTACTCTTATCACGTTCATGATG